GTCCTATTGGGTCACTATGAGTTGGAATTGACTCTGTAGCAATGGGTTTTTGGTTTGTGTAATTTCCATCAAAATGGAAATAGGGATATCTTATGTAGAGATGCTAACGTAGTATTATTAAACATGATGTAATCTGGGGTTGGAGCTGCACTGGAGGGAGTATTGTGGGCAGGGTTGAAGAATCCTAATGACTTGACCCATGTGCATTAAGTCTGGGATCCCTTGTGTACTAGTTCACTTTGCCATCTTTAGGCAATTGCATAAAAACCTTGCTCCTTGATGCCCGTCAGTCAGTCTTTCTCTGACTCATTCTGTTTTAGCTAAGGAGGATTCCATTAGAAGCAGGTGAGGGACTTTTTTTTTTTTTTTTTTAATTACTGTGTGTTGAAACTTCAAGGATGACTAGGAACTAGGGGTAACAAAGTAGAAGGGTGATGGCTGGAAATATTAGGGTCTTGGTCTAGAGTTTAGTAGGCAGAATGGGGGAGACAACAGCAGTGGTGTTTGAAGCCAGCTCGTATCAGCTCACAAGAGTTTGTTGTGTACCTTTCTTTCCAATTCCAGATACAAGGATATCATATAGGTTGTTTGAATCTGGCCATGACGGAGTATTTGCACCTAAGAAATGGTCAAACACTGCATTGCAAATCAGAGTTACTTTAACTTGTTTTTAAAATCCGAATCATTTTACTAGTCCACCACTGGGCCAGGAGCACAAATAAAGACTATGCCAGTAGAGTGGAAAGTCTGTTTAGAAGAGGGGAGTGAGGATACTCTGTGCTTTAGGGTTCTCTTTTGTTCTTGGTAAGGAGCTCTGCTTGCATAGTGGTTAAAACATTCAGCTGCTAACCACAAGGCCTGTGGTTTGAATCCACCAGCCACTGTACAGGAGAAAGATGAAGAAGCAATCTTTTTCCATAAAGATTTACAGTCTTGGAAACCCTACGGAGTAGTTCCACTCTGTTCTAAAATGTCACTATGAGTTGGAATTGACTCCATGGCAGTGGGTTTTTGGTTTTTGCTCTCAGTGTATAATGGAGCTCTGAGCCCCTCCAGAGAAAATTCCACATTGGCCTAAGGTCCTGAGTACGGTAAATATCCAAGGCATTTAAAATGCTCATTCACAGCTCCCTATCTGGGCCCTTTGGAGTCCCTAGGTGGTGTAAAATGTTAAGTGCTCAACAACTAGCTGAAAGGTTGGCAGTTCAAACCTTCCTGGAGGTATCTTAGAAGAAAAGTGACAATTATTATCTGAAAGGTCACAGCCTTAAAAGTCCTGTGGAGCGGTTCCACTCTGTAATACATGAGGTTGCCACGAGTTGGAATCCACTTGACAGCAACTAACACGCTGGCCTGTACAGTATTTATTTTTGAATAATTACATTGTGCTTCTGTGTGCTGGTCTGTAGGAATGCACAACTAAAAAGACAATTCTCAGACCTCAGCAAGTATACAATCAATTGGAGAGAATATCACCAGTTATGGATTGAACTATGTTCCCCCCAAAATGTGTGTTGTAAATCCTAACCTCTATGTGGTTAGAATCCCATTTGGGAACAGGTTGTTTTTGTTATCCTATCCTATGAGATAGGATTAATGTGTGTGTGTTTTAAGTCAATGTCTTTTGAGATATACCAAAAACTCATTGCTATTGATTCTATGCTGACTCATAACATCCAATAGGACAGATCAGAACTGCTTCACAGAGTTACCAACACTGCAAATCTTTACAGAAGCAGAATGCTACATCTATCTTTCTTCTGGAGAGTGACTGATGAGTTTGAACCATTGATTTTGCTTAGGAGCCAAGTACTTAACCCCTGTGCCACCAAGTCCCCTCTTTTTGAGATATAAAAGAGATTAAACAAGTGAATGAAAGCAGCAGAAATGAGGGAAGAGTGATGCCAAGCCACGTGGCGATCTCCAAGGAACCAGAAAATAAGTGGAAGAGAGACAGAGAGAGAAAGCCTCCCCCTACTGCCAATGTATCCTGAATTCAGATTTCTAGCCTGAACTGTAAGAAAATTTCTATTTGTTAAAGCCACCCACTTGTGCTATTTCTGTTATAGCAGCATGAGATAACAAAGACATGCTTTTATCTTCAAGCTAAGTCCTCTGATAACTAGCCTCCTTGTGAAAGCAGAGGGAAAGGAATGACTTGTGGGGAGATGTATCATGCAGGCACATTGCTCACACACTGGGCTAACTATGAGAGTTAGCAGGTAGCTCTAGTCCCTGATAAGGACATAATGTTTGGTAAATTAGAGGATCATCATAAAAAATGTATACCCTCAATGGGAAGGATTGACACAGTGACTGCAACAACGGGCTCCAACATAGCAATGTTTGTGAGGATGATCCAGGACCAGGCAGGGTTTGTTCTGTTGCAGATAGGGTTGCTTTGAGCCAGAACCGACTCAACAGCACCTAACAATAGGTAGCTCTATAGCACAGGGAGACAGAGGCCAATCCTAGGGTGCCAAGGGTACCTGCATCAAGGCTGCACAAACCTGCATGAGGCATTTGAGAAGATCTCTAGGATGACCTTGAGGTCACAGGGAGCCACTCTAGTCCATGAATTTTCACCCATCAACCAGCCTTCAATCAACAGCCTCCTTAGCCTCTATTCTCTTCTTAAAAGAAAAATCCTCTTTGCCACTCCAAAGTATCTAATGCCACTGACATCTGTAGCTGATCCATTTAAGACTCCTCTTCTTAGTTATTCATGATGTTTTGCTTTATCTTCATCTGCTCTGCCTGCTATTACTTTGTAAGAATTGTGGTGCCATACACATACCCTCTGGTACACTACAGCATTTTCATATGTGTTTTTATTTCTTCCCTCTCCTCTAGGAGGATAACTTTCATTGGCTGAGGGCATACTCTCAGAATGGTTGGATGGCCACAGACAGACCTGGTAATATTTGCTGTCCACAGCAGACACACAAGCCTTTATTTGTGCTCTTTTCAATTTTCAGCAATTACTTAGAGGGTAATATAGCAATGAAATAAGGAGTAGGTCTTCCTACTTTGGAGATTAAATTTAGAGGTGAGAAGACTAGAAACAAAGGAGGAGGGTTTGAATGATTATGTATACTTGTTATGGGCTAGGCACTAAGATAGACAGTGAATAAATGCAAAGATGCAGAGAATAGTTGATCTGTGCTTCTTCATCCCTTGGATCTCTGACCTTCTTATCAGCTGAGTTTTGTATCAATATCTCTTGTGAACAAATACACGTCAAGTTCAGCACCCAGCTGGAAGAGGATATGGTGGAAGGTAGGACTTAGATGTTGGATCCAAGAATGAATAATTATTATTTTCACAAAAAACTGTTCTTGCCTATTCAGGGTAAAATATGTCCTCTGGCCACTAAACAACATAGATCTTTTCTAGAATCTAAAATAAACTTTTTTTTTTTTTTCTTTTTCTTCCCTGTATTCTCCACCAGTGCCTGGAGTTTGGACCCATTTCCCTCTTTCCATATGGGTACTTGGCCTCTCCTTCTGTAGTACCTTGTACAACACAGCCATTTCTCTAATTATCTCCTATCTGCTTGCCCAGATGCAGGATACGCAAGTATTATAGGTCTTTACCAAGTTTTACCATTTTGGTTAAAGAGGCATTGACAAGGAGGCAAATACTAAAGCTTCTAAAGTTTCAACTATAACTAATTACAAAATCTTTATACTATTAACTATTATACTATTAACCCAGGTCTGTCTTCTGTGTTAAAGGGGATAGGACAGAGCTACCTGCTCAGCGTTGGCTTTGTTCTCCCTCCCCCAACCTAGAAAGGTCTCTCTCCCTTGGCCCACTTCCAAGATGAGGAAATTGTGTATAGTAAGTTTAATTATAGGTAGTAAAATCCTTAAACCTTTGAACTGTGACAAGATTCTTGAGTCTCAAGCTCTGTTCTGGAGAACAGGGGATGCTAGTACCTACTGCCCAATTTGTTAAAAGCAAAATGGAATGTTACGAGTAACCTAAGGACATTATGTTTTGTAGAGGGTCAGTGAAAATGAGGGTGACTTTCAATGGGATAGATTGACACAATAAACACATCAATAATCATGAAGATGGCACAGACTGGACAACATTATATTCTGTTAAACATAAGATCACCGTGAGTCAGACCTGAGTTAATGGCAACTAACAACAACATAAGTAACGTTTTTACATCAATGCCTAACATTGAGAAGTTACTTTAAAAGGGTTGCTTTCTTGATCCTATTTTCCTGTGATAGTAATCTATCGATATATCACTAGTATGTGGACACCACATACTAGGTGGTGGTGGTTTGGACACCACATACTAGTTTGTCATACTAGAGCAAACACTTAACTTTTAGCCCTTGCCATCTTTTTCCATCCTCTCTATCCTACTCAGCTTATGTAGGATACATACCTACCAGGTTAACATATATAAAATGCTTTCCACTTATAAAACTCATCATGGTTGACCATTTTTTCTCCTCACAGGGTAAAGTTCAGGCTCTTTGATTTGTATTGAGAGCCAATCTATTTTTCTAATTTTTCCAGATTTGCCATGCCATAACCTTGCAGAGCTGAGAGCTGTTTAAATATTGTATTTACATACCAAACGTTTCTCCTTAAACTTCCAAAGGCCTTCACTCCGTTCTCTGCTTGGTACTCCCTTAACCTGATGATATCTTCCTCTACTCCATTCACCAGACTGTTTCATATATAAACTCACTCTTAATACCATCACAAAGAGGAACAGGGTGAATTACTCCTACTGTGTTTCCACGTAAAATTTTTCTCATATCATTAATATGTTAACATAATAATTTTATTTTCATTAGATGCCCATCTTTTTTTGTGAGATTATAACCTCATCTTTATGCACCATAGTTCCTGGCACCTTTAGAATAGAATGGATTCAAACATCTCTGGTGACATTAAAGAAAATCATTGATTATAATCTAAAATTTCTTCTTTGTGACTAGAGGAGAGGCCTCAGGTTGTCTGATCCAGGTATGACTACCTTGAACCACACTGGTGTGAGCCACACAGTTTTTCGCTTGCTGGGTGTCCCTGGCCTAGAGGACCAACATGTGTGGATTTCTATCCCCTTCATTATTTCCTATATCATAGCCCTGCTGGGGAACAGCCTGCTCATCTTCATTATCTGTACAAGGCACAGCCTCCATGAACCCATGCACCTCTTCCTCTGCATGCTGGCTGGAGCAGACATCATCCTCTCCACATCCACAGTGCCTCAGGCCTTGGCTATCTTCTGGTTCCATGCTGAGGAGATTTCTCTGAATCGCTGCATCACTCAGCTCTTCTTCATCCATTCCACCTTCATCTCTGAGTCAGGGATCTTGCTGGTGATAGCATTTGACCGCTACATTGCCATATGCTACCCACTGAGATACACTACTATTCTTACACATTCCCTGATTGCAAAAATTGGTGGCACCATCTTTCTGAGAAGTTATGGTACAATTTTCCCAATAATATTTCTTCTGAGAAGATTGACTTTCTGCAAAAGCAACATCCTCCTGAACACTGGTTGTAAGCACATTGTTTTGGCCCACGTTTCTTGTAATGATATTCAAGTAAACATATGGTATGGGTTTTTTGTCTTAATGTCAACAGTAGTATTAGATATTGTGCTAATTTTTATCTCCTATGTACTGATCCTCCATGCTGTCTTTCGCATTCCTTCCCAAGATGCTCACCACAAAGCTCTAAACACCTGTGGTTCCCATGTCTGTGTCATTATCCTCTTTTATGGGCCTGGGATCTTCACAACACTTACTCAACGGTTTGGACACCACATTGCACCCCATATTCATGTCCTCTTGGCCAATGTTTCTATTCTGGTTCCACCTATGATGAATCCCATTATTTATGGGATCAAGACCAAGCAGATCCGGGATCAAGTGGTCCATGTATTATTTGCAAAGTAGAAATAACTGATATTGGAAGCTGAGATTCTGTTTTCTCAGCAGTTTGATCTATGCATGAGGTGAACTTTAGCACCAGTATACAGCTGTTACAAGTTAAATGAGTCCACACAGCAGCGTCTCTAGAGCAATCACATCTGGGTAGTTTGGTTTTGTGTTTCTTTCAAAACCTCAATCAGTCATTAGCTATGATTATCATTGGGGTTATTTGCTAACTCATTCATAAAATTGAGAACTGGGAAAGTTCACCTTTTTAAATCACTCTGCAGGAAACCTGCCTCATTAACAAAACAAAAACAACACATTCCCAAATGGAATTACAGTCACCAGGATACAGGTTAGGATTTATAACACATATATATTTTTTTGAACATAATTCAATTCATAATACAAAGATTTAATGACCCTACATGATCTTGTATCTGACTTCATCTCCCACTTCTTTCTTTCCTCCTCTTCCTCCTTCAATTATATTGGCATCTTTGCTTTCCTCAAGTGTGCCAGGGATTCAGGGTTTTTGTGCTTGCTATTTACTATGCTAAGGAGCTCTGGTGAAGTAATGCCTAAGGCATTTGACTGCTAACCAGGAGGTTGGCGGTTCAAACCCACCAGCCACTCCATGGAAGGAAGACTGGACAACCTACTTTTGTAAAGATTTACTGCCTCAGAAACCCAAAGGGGGTGGCTATGAGTCAGAATTGACTTGATGGCAGTGAGTTTTGTTTTGTTTTTTTGGTATTTACTATGCTTAGAATCTTCTTTGCCAAGCTATCTCCTCAACTTTGCCCAGCTATCTTCTCGACTTTGCCCTTGTCTCCACCAGATCCTTGCTCAATTAAAACATTTTCAATGATACTTCTTCTACCTATCCTATTTAAGGCTGCAATCCCTGTAACATCTAATCAATGATACTCTAATCTCTTTCCGTACATTATTTTTTCTATATAACATTTAATATTGTTGATAATAATGGTTACAAAACATCACCATATAGAACTGACTATATGTTAACAATTGTTTATTTCTTTAAAAGAAATTTGATATTTTTTCAAATAAGAGTAAATTCTACAACAACAGAGGAAGAAGGAGAGTCAGGAATAGGAGGAGGATATGGAATGTGTGACTAATTGTTGCCATTAACAACTGCCTCCTTTGTCGTGATACCAAAAGAACTGGATGGTCCGTGGCTACCATTACTGAACACTTGGATAAAAAATTCCATAGGAGAATCCAGATCAAAAGGAGGAAAATGTAGAATAGAATTTAAAATTCTTATGGACTGTAGACTTTCTGGAGACATAGAGGGTGGATGAACCATGGAAACCATTATTCTGAGATAATCTTTAAACCTTAAACTGAATATATCCCCCTGAGATCTTCTTAAACCAAACAATAGTTTAAACTAACCAGTAAAAAAGGACCGCCTTGAGCATTATGGCATAGTGCCTAAGGCATTTGAGTGCTAACCAGAAGGCTGGCAGTTCAAACCCATCAGCTACTCCTCGGGAGGAAGGTTGGGCAATCTACTTACATAGTGATACAGCCTTGGAAACCCAAGGAGGGGTTGCTATGAATCGGATCCGACTTGATGACAGTGAGTTTGAGCATTATGCCCTTTTAAAAACCATCTATATGGGATCAAATTGACAATACAACTCAAAAGATCAGATAGGAATCTTCGGGGCAGTGAGTTTATGTTAATGAGGGAGGAACAACTTGGAAAAGGAGAGTGAGAATTGCTGCACAACTCAAAGAATGTAATCAATGTCACTAAATCGTACATGTAGAAACTATTGAATTGTATATTTTGCTGTGTATAGTCCCAACAAAAAAATAAACAAAATTTAAAGAAAAAAACCAAAACAAAACAGGAAAGAAAAAATGTTTAAAATTTTAAACATGTTGACAAAAGTAAAAAACCATTTTTTTTAAAAAAGTGAAAAAAATAAGTTCAGTGAGGTGATTGACTTTTGTATGATTTCTTCACTTCTTTATCTAGCACTGAAGACTTTTCTTGGCACATTAAATATTTGTTGAAAAGGTGGGTGAGAATGGTTGTACAACTTTGAAGAATGTAATCAATGTAACTAAATTGTACATGCAGAAACTGTTGAATTGGCTATGTTTTCTTGTGTATATTCTCAACAACAATAACAAAATAAATAAAAGTTAGGAAGAGAAAAGGTATTTAGCATTTAAAATTAAAAAAAAATTGTTGAGTGAATGGATGAGTCATATGATAGTATTTGTTGGTGGAAACTCTTAAGGAGCTGGTAATCCTGAAGCCTGGGATTCTTTTATCAGGAAAAGACTGTTTAGGTGTTGGGAATGATGCAGAGGGATGGGAATTGGGAGCCTCTTACTATTTGTAAGGAGTTCTGGTAAGGAGCTCTGGTGGTGTAGTGCTTAAAGCATTTGACTGCTACACAGAAGGTTGGCAATTCAAACCCACGAGCCACTCTGCAGAAGGAAGACAGGGCAATCAACTTCTGTAAAGATTTACTGCCTTAGAAACCCAGTGGGTGTCACTATGAGTCAGAGTTGACTCAGTGGCAGTGGGTTTATTTTTTGTTTTACTGTTTGTACTCCCTACATGGTACAAATGGTTTGTGCTTGGTTATTAACTGAAAGGTTGGTGCTCAAATCCACCCAGCAATGTGGTGGAATGAAGACCTGGCCAACTACTTCTGTAAGATTACAACCTTTGAAAACCCCATGGAGTGCAGTTCTATGCTGACACACATTGGATCACCATGAGTTGGAATCAATTCCACAGTGAGTTTGGATTCTTTCTTTTTTTGTTTTTTACTTTCTTATTTTTCACTATTTGCTACTAAGGAAGAGTATCTCAAGAATTCCTACCTCCACACAGCAAAGAAATGCTATTAGGCAATGAGCTAGCAGCTACATTTCAGCAACATATCTCTTTTCATTTTCCATAATGTGATAGTTGGAGCTGTGTGTCAACTTGGCCGGACCACAATTCTGTGTGGTTTAAGCAGTTGTGATGTGGTTTGTTCCCATGATAGGATCATATGTATATGTTTTGAGCAGCCAAATCATTGAAAGGGAGTTTCCCTAGGGGTGTGGCCTCTTCCAATATATTTATGGACATCCTGGGAAAAGAGATACTCTTCTGTGGATTGGGATCCTGTTGTGCTGTGTACAACTGTACGTGAGTGAACAATCCACCATTCGGCCTGGCGATCTTGGATTTGTCATTTGTTGAAGTCATCAGCCAGTATACTGCCTGCCAACCTTGAGCTTGTCAGCCCCTGCTGCTGTGTGAATTGGGAAAAGCCTCCAGCTTGACGTTTGATCCAAGAACTTGGGACTTGCCAGCTTCTATAAGTGTGTGAGACATTTTCTTAAGATAAATTTATCTTTCTCTATATGTATATATAAACTTTACTGGTTTTGCTTCTCTAGAGAACCCAGCCTAACACACATAATATCTGCTCTTCAAACATAGAATGTTATTCACCCATGTCTCTCCTTTCTTTGCTCATGCCGTGCTCTTCCACATCTCTGTACCTTGCTGATGTGTCTACCAGGAATATTTCCTTTACACTTGAATTATTGGTGAACCAGTACTCCCATTTCTTTTCTGCTCCAGTCCACCCTTTAATTTTTTGGAAAAATTCCTGACATTATAGAACTAAACTGAAAAGTATTAATATTCCATTCTTACATATCTATGACAAACAGAAAAAAAATTATGAGCAAAAAACAAAACAAAACAGAGAAGCTTGTAAAATTTAACATGGATCTTGGCATTCACAGCTGAACAGAACAGAAATTAAAATGCTTTAGTTAATAAACCATGAGTGGATGATACAGTATAGAAACTGAAAGTTTCCAAATTATTTGAAACCTGGAATTGATGATTGTTCAGTAACTACACAGATGGATCATGGGTGGTGGTGAACAGTAGAAAGGAATTATGGATGAATCTGCATTGTCCAGCTGCTCTCTGTGCTACCACTGTCCAAAGGAAGCCTGATATTGATTAGATATTGAGCCAGGTTAATGCAGGCAGCTTATCCAGTGATGGTAATCTGCCTATCAGTAGATACTTCTAATGGGTTCACAATTTTGATCTGTACTTCAGAAATCTGACAGATCTCATTGATTTTGTCATCTTGCTGGTCAATAATACAGCTAATCAAATACTTTGGAATGGTGAGTTTTTGAGAAGTAGTCTGAGCAGTTGTATCCAGACCTGTGCTGTAACCTTTCACCCCTGGAGAGCTGGATTCAATGCCACTGAATCCAGTGTTGCTATGTGTCATAGGAAAATGAAGCTGTTGCATTGCCAACTGGTGCAACTTAGTCAAATCTGGCTTTGGAATGGCATATTGCCCTTGAATTGTATAGCCCTCTAGAGGTGGTCCCTCCAGGTTAGGGTTGAAGCATATGGACTGGGTGATGTGGGGAAAGGTTGCACTGCTGCTGCCTGTGCGGTACATGTCTTGACCACCTGCAAAGATGAATGGAGAACTAGACCACTTGGGCCAGGATGGGATGGTCACACTCTTCAGGGGGGAACTCCAACATGACTGTGGAGATCTGTTCGACAATGAGATATTTTCTCACCCCAGCAATAATAGTGAAGTTCAACAAGGCAGAAAACAACAAATGCTGGTGAGGGTGTAGAGAGATTGGAACACTCATACACTGCTTGTGGGACTGTAACATGGGGCAACCATTGTGGAAAATGGTATGATGCTTCCCTAAAAAGTTGGAAATAGAAATACTGTTTGATCCAGCAATACCACTACTAGGTATACATCCTAAAGAAGTGAAAGCTCAGACACGAACAGGTATAGGCACACCCATGTCCATCACAGGACTATTCATAAAAGCGAAGAGATGGAAACAACGTAAGTGCCCAACAACAAATGAATGGGTAGACAAACTATGGTACATACACTCAGTGGAATATCATGCAACATTAAAGAATAATGAAGAATTAACAGATTAACTTGTAGGACTTTATGCTG